GGGCATTTTGACAAGTACAAGTACTTGTCAAAATGCCCTGTTTTTTCCACCCTCACCCTGCAGCGCCCTCAGGCGGCCGCTTGCCTTGAGGTAGCGCCGGGCCTGAAGATCACTAAATGTTTTATTGAGCATTTCAAAACATACTACTAGGTAGTGTGTTCATGTGTGGACCCTTCAGACTGTAATGATAGAGTATGGTGAATGGGTGAGTGTTCTCTGTAGAGCACTACAATATATATTCTGCATAAATAAGGAAATAATACAATATGTAATAGTGCCTGTATTTTTTATGGGCATTTTTTGAATCACTGTAGTGTACATCATTTAGTCCAATGACTTCCTTACCTTCTGTGTTTTCAAATACAGTGGTATGTTTGACAAAGGCCACATCTCCTTTCTCCACCAGACACCTAAAATTAACAAAATGTGGGTTTCATTCAACAGTGCCATCCCTGTACTCAGTGAAAACCCTTTTAAAAATCAAACTATAAAGCCAAAAGACATTTGACTCATGTTAGGTATAATGGATCCATGCCATTTTATGGCAGTGGTATGTTATTTTCTATTACCTTATCGCTCCGGAGTATCCGTAATATGCCTCAGCATAGCTGGGTGAGCATTTAGTGTTTAGTAGAGGTTTCTGGGGGTCTCCCATACACAACTGACATAAATTAGAATTGATATCAGAGCCAGGAGCACAGCTCTGACTGAAGTATGAACCTGTTAGAAATATACCAAGCAAACAAACACAGGACTTTAATAATAGTGTTAAAACAGGTAATAATCTCAGAAAGTTCTCAATGAGGAGACACAGTAATAAAACCTTGCATTGCAATATTTTCCATAGTTCTACAAGGTAGATCTGCATTCATTGGTTTCCATACACAAAAACATACTGGTAGTAAATTGGCTTCCTTCCCAAATTGGACCTATGTATATGTGTGTGGTAGGGACATTGAGGAGAAGACTTATGTGAATAAGAGGAGATTTATGTGAATCATTTTGTGATGTCCACACAAAGTAAATAACAAGATAATGCATAATATTCTTTTCTTGATTTAATGACAGGAAAACTTCAATGTTAAGGGCCGGTTCACACCATATGCAGTGTGCGTTCCACCACAGATCCTGCCCGGAATACACTGGATCACATTAACCAAGCCTCCCTTGTTCTGGGGCGGGAGGGGCCAGGTGTTGTAATTCATGTCAATGGCACCGCAGACACGCCTCCTGCCCGCAGTGCAATCGGCCGCACCAGAACACGTGGTACAGCAATGCCCGTGTTTCGGTGCAAAAAATAGTGCATGCAAATGCTTCATGGGATTTGTAGTTTTAGCACAGTTGGAGTGCCAGTGTTTCTTACCCTGTTGTAGAGGATTAAAAAAAACATGCCTGTGTGCTCATGTGGAGGTTGTTGTTTATGGAAATAGGCATGAGAGTTGCCAAGTTGTCCTTTACCAATCCAGATTGCTATGGGTAAGCTAAAATGTCTTCAGAAAAATCATAGGATTTTGGAATTTACTGAGTTTGGCTGCTACTAATGAGGGGTATGCTATTTGTTTCCTTCTTTGCATTTATGGTCAAAATGGTATGAATATTGCCTTTAAATGTAAATAATCGAGAACTTTCGTTTTGCTGTTTTTTTTGCACATATAATAGTTCAGTAAGCTTGACATTTTTTTTTTTACCACTCATGAAAGACTCTGAGTTCTTTTAAAACATAAGTAATTGGTCAGTGTTCTTGGTCATTATAGTGTATCATTTATAGTGTTTCATGGTCATGGGAAACCTGAATGGCTCAGTGTGTAATGTCTGAAGAATCGAATATAACTACAGTATATGATAGTTATGTTATAATTGATTTAGGGTAGACTGTGTCTGTAAAAAATGGAAAATAATAGTATTACGAGGTCATATTGAGAAATGTGTTATTCTTTTTTTAAATAATAAATGTTTATTAAGAGTTTAGTACAGGTAACATAAAAGACAGGCAGACATAGGGATCAGCGCAGTTTCAGGTCATGCAGTCACAGCTCCGCATGAGACACAAGCATATAACTAGGCATATATATGTGTTCGGTTCAAGCAGTGGCGTAACCAGAGTTCTGGGCGCCCGGGGGAAAATAGTATGTTTACTATAACTACAATTATGAATGAACAGGAGGGGATATAGATCACTCCCATTCATTCATAATTGAGGATATAGTATACATACCAGGTACTCAATTATGTACAAACACTCAGCGATCACTGATCACTGAGTGCTTGTACCCGCTCTCCTCTCTGACACACACTGTCATAGGAGGCTGCAAGAGGCTCCTGTGACAGCGCTGGCTGTCTCCGCCCCCACACCGCTCTGCTGCACTGTGATAGGCGGCCGAGCGGTGTGGGAGGAAAGACATCGGCCGCTCACAGCGCTCGTCCCGCAGCGCTGGGCACTGCTCTGTGTCCCACCGGGGATGAAAGGAATCACGGCCGCGCCGCGCCGACAAAACGGCAGGAAAATGTCACTTTCGGCATTTAGCCGAAAGTGCCATTTTCGGCCGGCGCCCCCCCGTTACTTTTCGCCCGGGGCCCGCGCCCCTGCTGCCCCCCCGGTTGTTACGCCACTGGGTTCAAGTATCCATCACATACAGTGGTAAATATGTAGATCAAGTCATACAGAGGGGGGTACATTTCTAGTTTCTATAGCAACTGAGCGCATCTCACTCAGGAGATATAAAGGTAGCTGCGATCTCGCATCTGGCCAGACAACACTAAAGGGGGACAAAAAGGAGGATAAACACATAGTAACACAGGACTCAAGGGGCAACACAATATGGGGGGATGCCAGGCTAAGTAGGAGAACAGATACGGGAGGGCACTTAATGGGGAGGAGAAGGGGAATGGGGAGCTTCCAATAGCTGACGATACAGGAGGGAGATTACATGAGTGGGTGGGTCATCTAGATAGCAAAGGGACTCGAACCAGGAGAGTGGTCGGTGTAGGGTGGCCCAATCCCCCAACGCAGTGTAGAACGCCCGAAGTTGAAAATATAAAAGCCAGGCTCCGGGGATGTGGGGACGGCCCTCAAGTAGGGTGACCAAAGGCTTCAGTGTCGGTCCTGCGAGGGCTTCGGCCAAAGGTGAGGGCTCAGAGTTGGACCAGCAAAGGAAACTAGAGGAGATACAACCCGGTGGAAATACCGGATTGCCCATTATGGGAGTCATGGGGCCCACATAAGAAGACAAGTCATGCGTTCTGAGAAGAAGGTCCCAGGCTTTCAGAAGCGGAGGGAGGGCAAAAGGGAGAAGCGATGAGAAGGGGCAAGCCAGGGTACCGAGAAAGGGAGCACAGGGGAGATAAGTGCTTCCAGGGAGACCCAGAGTTTGTGAGCCCCGTGGTGTTTCCGGTCCAGAATCTGGGCAAGGAGCACCGCATAGTAGTATGTCCGCAGGTCAGGCAGGGCCAAGCCTCCTGATTCCTTGGAGCGGACCATGATATGATAGGCTAGCCTCGGACGCTTACCGGCCCAGATGAGAAATGTGTTATTCAACACTTGTGTAGGGTGTATTTGATGTCATGGGATCAAATCTACAGGACATGTCATTCTGAGCAAGTGAAATGCCTGTAGTCTATATAAAATGAAGATCCTTTTATCTGCTTGTTTATATATTACAATGGTGCTGCATGTGGCACTATGCTTACCAATATCACAGTTGTTGTTTTTCTTGTTGATCAGACCAACAGGAATATTCCATCCAGCGGTGCGACCTACTGCTGTGTGACAGGACTTCTTGCCTTTAAGATTGTTCCATGTAATGTCTTTGGTTGTTTTCTTTATAACAGCAACTGCATAGTATGTGCCTTTGTAGAATCAAAAGAAAAGGAATTATTTCTCTAATTTTATTAAACACGCTAAATGTACTAGTGGATGCTGGGGAGACAAATTACCTTCACAGCCAAGACTCTAGGAGACTCCAGTAGTATCTCCCAACCTAAACTTCCAGAATCATGCCATCATGGTCAATGCGGTCCCTCTCACGCTACCTGATTATTTATTTACCAATATTCCTGAATTTGAGAATGCAGTAGAAGCATTTATGCTCCATCTCTGGCCGTTTTAATAATCTTGGTGTGGGATTTTAGAGTTGTTATTTCTAACATAGGGATCAGTCAAAGGAAAGCTGTGCTAAGGAAATATGTAGGCTGCTATTACTGACCTCTTCTTCTGAGAAGCCTAGCTATTCTACTACTTTCTAAATTCCTGACCTTGCTTAAATAATCCCAATAGTATATTTTCTACAGAAATAAGGTCAGCAGATATATTGTTTCGGGTTAAAGAAAATAGACTTCAAACTACATGGGTCATTTAGATTCTTGTGTTTCAGTTACAGACCTCATATATAGGATTAAGATATGAGGCTTTTCCTCATTGGTAAAGTCTGGTATAAATGTATAGCCAATGACAAAGGTTAAATGAGCTGTGCAAGCATCAAGTATTCCTCAAAACATGACTGGTGGGGAAACTTGAGTACTGGAATTAATGAATCAATGCTTGATACTGTATGGTAAGAACATAATCATAATAAATATTTCAGCAAAAAGCTTACCTAAAAGCTAGAAGCACCCTGGTTTAGAGTCATATAAGCAGAATCTGTATCATTGATGTACTGGTTGCTGTCATTAGGAGAGTCTTTAGTGAAAGTGAAAAAAAGACTCACGTAGCTGCTCACAGTCCACATCCGCTGCAGGTCATATAGAAAGGGCGGAGGGGCGGGTTGACAATCTTATGCTCAGATGAAGTACAGACACCTCAAGTACATATACCTGCAACGGCCTTCCAAACCTTCCTATCATTGCTGTTTTTTCGGCCTTTTTGACAGGCAGAGTTTTTTCTACTTAAAGAAGTGTTTTTCTCTTCCTACCACCTGCATTTTTCTATTGGCCAGTGAGGCTGCCCATTATAGTGATAGGCCATTAGGAATGTGTGGAGATGGGGTTTTGCAGCAAGCTCCAACACCACCCAAACGTGGTGGAGCTTTGCTTGTCAAAACAGCCCGACATGGCCAAGAGAGAAGGTTTAAGGAATATGCTGACAGAATGTGCTCGTACCTCTCAAATGTTCACACTCCATGCCTGCAGCAGTTTACCCCCCTTCTTCCTAAAGCCTGTCTGTGTTATTTAAAGTGGACCTAGTCCAGAAAAAGCCACACATCACTATCTTCACCATATATACAGTATAGTTTAGTCAAATCAATTAGCCATCACGGTACAGTCCCCAACGCATGATCAAAAACCTCTAACTTGTTTCACCCATGCAGGCTTAGTCATAGAGGTCAGGTCATAGAGATTGATCTCTACGACTAAGCTTATATGGCTGAAACGCGTTAGAGTGGACGATCATCAGACGGGGACTGTACCATGCAGGCTGATGGATTTTAATAAACTATGTGTATGGCGAACATTGCAGTATGCCGATTTCTGGACAGTGTGCATTTAGGTCGTGGAGATTGAGTCAGAACAGAGCGGTGAAATTCTTTTCGTATTTCTACGTTAACCGCTTGCCATCTGTCTGTTGCAAAAAAACGGATGGACGGCAAACTCACAATAGGCGGGTTGCCGTAAATAGACAGCTTTTTTTCCTGCTTGCGCGTGCCCCCCTAGCGTGCGCACGTGCAGAAAAACCCCGTCTGTTGTAAACAGCTGTTACCGGCTGTTTCACATACAAGCGATCGGCGGCTCTATAACCGTCCGTTCACTTGTATGAGCTGTCTGCAAGCGCCCCCCCTCCCTGGTGTGGTGCCACCGTCGCGCCGCCCCCCTCCTGCACCCTCACCTTCAATCCCAGGATCCGCTGCCCCATTTGCAGCCTGGGACCGACTCGGGAGGGTGTCAGGAGGAAGTTGGGAGGGAGATCAGCATCTTTCTCCTTGCTGATCTCCCTCCGTAGTATGAATGCGGAAGTGATGTGTATTACATCACTTCCGCATTCACTTGTCAGTCATCTGGCTGCTATAGCCAGAGAGAAGAAGCTGATGAAGCAGATCTCTGCTTCATCAGCTTCTTTGGGGGTCCCCAGGTGACATTAGGGGTCTTGGAGACCCCTAATGTCTCCATAAAGAGGACCTGTCAGTGTGCCTTTGCTATTATATAGGGGGATTGTTATCCCCTATATGATAGCAATAACATTAAGTGTAAAAAAAAAGTGTAAAAATAATAAAAGTCACATAGAAAAAAAAAGTAAAGAAAAAAAAATGTTTAAGTCCCTATCCCCAAGTTTACGCACATATAAATGTAGAGATGCACCAGCGAGCGAAAACGCCAATTACGCTACACATGTTACATATCGCCGCAAACGTTGGAGTGTGAGCAATAATTTTAGGGCCATCAATTACTGATAGCACTAAACTGATGAGCGGAAAAAGCGTTTAAAGCGTCACCTATTGCCAATTTTGGGTATTGTAGTTTTTTGAGGTTTTGCGGGAGTGCGCAATTTTAAGGCTTGACATGTTTGGTGTCTTTTTATGCGACATGACCACGTCTTTTATATTTTACCCAAAAATTGGGGAATAATAAATGTTTTATAATTTAATATAGGGGGAACACTTTTTTTCTTTTAATTTTCGGTAATTTTTCCTTACTATAGTAAAAATAAAACCCCCCAGTGGTGATTAAATACCACCAAAAGAAAGCTCTATCTAATCCCAAAAAAGTGTATAAAATTAATTTCAGTACAGCGTTGAATGACAAAATAAATGTCAGTCAAAGTACCTCAGTGATGAATACTGAAAAATGGCCTAGGCAGGAAGGGGGTTTAACACCACAGACTTCAAGTGGTTAAACATGATCAGTTCCACATTAAATCAATGATCAATTGATCAATTCTATCGCTAAGGTGGTTTTCTCTTTGTATCGGACAGGCTCGTAGTAGGCCTGTAGGCTTCTGTTGTTGTACATTTACTTTATCTACCAAATAGGAGGAAAAAAATAAAACAACTTACCTTGTGATTTTGATCCACTGGTCCTGCATGGCTTTAGATCCTCTGTAAATCATAAGAAATAAATACAATAATACCAATCATAAAAATTAGGATGGTAGCTTGTTTGGAAAAATAGTGTATTTGTAAGCAACAGGCTAACATAAAGTCAAAACATGCTGTCTATGGGACTAATCTATATGTGCACATGTGCATGCCACAGTATTCAGTTATCCTTTGTGTTGATTAGAAGTTAAACTTACCTACACTCATATTGAACAATAGAGAATACTATTTCTTAAACTGTCCAAATACAACATGGGCTCCACTCATGAATAGATCAGCACTAACAAATACTATGATTCCTCCTTAGTTAACAAACCGATACAGTAATGCCCAAGAAGATGACAGCTGAAATATAAATGTTTACTTATGTTTGATGGCCCCTTTGGAAATACAAAAAGGTTACCACTAACAGGTTAAGGCATGAGGCTCATCATCCCAATGTACATCAGTATTCAACTGTCCACATCAATACAACTTCTTTAATACACTTGGTTTTCCGTACGATGGTCTTACCTTGGTTATAGTACTCTCCGAGTACAGGGACCAATCCACAGTGCCCAGCTGTATACATGTATCCTCCATCCAGAGTAACAGCATCTGCTTCACCTTTCTACAAAACCACCAATAAAATAAATGTTTGGGTTTAAACTAGCCTAAGTGATGCTGTTGAATTTTTAAAGCAGTGTTTAGTAAGAGTTTCTTCACACAGGTGCCTTGTTTGTCTGTTACAGAGTTCTGTTTTCTACAGGATGGGTAAAATTATGATTAATCAAGTCCTACAGAGAAATAGCCAGTTGGTGTACCTGATCATTAGGTGGAGAGAAAGGCTCGGTAGTTGAGCACCTCACTTAACGAACGAGTTCCGTTCCTACGACCAGGTCGTTAAATGAATTGTTCGTTAAGTGAGGAACTCTATACAGTACTGTACTGTATTAGTACAGTACTGTATAGTGTTGCTGATGTACAGTACTAAACAGTGTACTGTACATCGGGCAATATAATACTTACCGGGACCCGCAGTGAAGAACGGAGGACTTCACTTCCGCCGGCGACACGTCGCACTGACGCTGACGCCCAAGGTCGGAGGTCGATCAGAGGTCGGTCGTAAGTGTGAGTGGTAGCAAAGCAGGTAAGTCGGAAAGCGAGGAATGGCTGTACATACAGCTCTCTAATGTGCCATGACCATACACCAAGAAAGTTTCAGGTGCAAAGTTCTTTAGAAAAGCCAACATATTTTGGGAGTTTTGGGTGCTTCTAAATAACATTGTGACTTATAAACGTTCTCTGAACTATAAGAATTCAGTGGCACCCTCTTTTCTGTTTTGAACACTGACCAGAAATCAATGGGCTACATTGTATTTGTGGTATACATAGGATTTACAATTCACAGTGTCTAGCACTGTCTTTGTTGTGTGCTGTAATCCCTGAATCCAGTACCAGCTCACTTAATAAAAAGTGGACTGAATAAAAGGGCTGCTGTGGCCATTTAAATCCATGTCACACAGTCTGTGTGTTTATTGGGGGTTTAACAGAGGGACGTAATCGACGAATCCATCAGTCACGTTTTTTATGGAATTAGCATTTTCTTTCTATATTACTTACCATTATTTGTTGAATACATTCATCTGCAGAAGAGGCCTCTGTACATTCAATGATACCTCCACTTACGGGTGTCCAGTTATCACACTTTATCTTCTCCTGTCTGCTTTGCGTACACCAGCGTAGAATTTCTTGGGATGGTTGGCTTACTTCTGAAGAATTTATATATTGTAATCATAATTTTTTCTGACAAGCTTGAGCTCCAGTATTGATAATAACCTCTATCAATAGAAGCCTCTTACCAAATATTTCTTTGATGGAGTTAAAAAGACTTGTTCCCAGATATAAGAATGCATCCATAGAAGTTGGTAGAGGAACAATGTTCGTAGTAGAGTCTTTGAACAGAAGATTTTTCCCATACTTAGTGCTGAATAGGTCACATGCTTTTTTCTAAAATGTTAATAAAGTTTAATTATTTTTTGTACCCCACAACTAAGAGCCTTGAGACCTCTACAATATTGCAGTTACCTGAGAATACTGAAGAAAGTCAACAATATCTTTAGTCTTGTCCCCTTCACTCCTAGTTACTACAGCATTCACCGGGAATCTTGATAGACTGCACTTTTGAAACTGAGAAACTGGCCTTCTAGTATTGTCTGGACATAGCAGCTGGAAATTCTTATAGAGTTCAGCTAAAAGACAGTTTAATACATGTTTAGAGGATAAGCTAAGGTGTGACAGAAGATAGACTGTAGAAAGATAGATAGATAGATAGATAGATAGATAGATAGATAGATAGATAGATAGATAGATAGATAGATAGATAGATATCAGTTTTACATATATTCCTGCCCTTGCTCTCTTTAGTGTAATCTTTTGTCCTTGGACTCAAACTATGAAGACTCCAAAATTATTTGTTTGTACAGAGTTACATGGCTCGGTGCCTCTGTACTGACACATCATATGGGAAAGTTCAGTCAATGAACATTTACTACTTTATTAAGATTCCTGCCTTAGCTGCTTCATATTGCCCTAGTTTTTAAATAAAGAAACAAAAGCAGTATCTTAATTTATGTGATGTGATTTGTTAATTGGATTTTGTCTGCTCACAAATGTAGATAAAAGGGCTATTTGTTTTGAGACTCAGACTTGTTTTCTAAATGCTATCAGAACACTTGTACTGCTAGCATACAGAAAAGTAAGTTGTCACACACTTATCTTCTCTCTCATTTCACATGATAATGGATGGATTCTAGGTGGTTTGGAGCATACACTGTAGAAGGTGGTGGAACATAGTTATAGCTGGTGATGAATGATACATTGTAATCTAGGTGGTGCATAAAAGATTGGAATCTTTTTTGAAATCTTGATTACAGGAAGCTCCTGTTTTACACTGGATTATTTCACAGAACTAGAACAAGTACACAAAGTACAATATCTCCTCACCTGGAGGTCGGCTTTAAACAGTCTGCTGTGACCCTGCCATATAAAAGTGCTTGAATAGAAACTTAAGTTTTGCCCTTCCCTGAAGATTCCAACCTCATAGTCAGTAATAGGAGATTTTATACCATGAGTAGGTATTAGTATGGCAGCAAGAGAATATATTATATATATTGTTTACCTGGTACAGTCATATGTGTCACAAAAGCTACGTCACCCTTGTTGTCTCTTAGACACCTGCAAATGCAAATAGAGAAATTAAAAACATGAATGGAATAAATCAGGCCTATAAATGTTGTCTTCGTACTGGAGTTTGAGTTGTTTTAATAATTACATTTCCAGTCCACACAAACCTATTTTCCTCAGTTATGAGTGGCTGCTGGTTGTCTACTGGCTTTTAATTCTTGTGGACAAAAAATGGCCTAAAAGTTGGCCTGGAGTGTGGAAGTTTTAGAACCTCTGTCAAGGTTTTATTGTTGTCTGTGTTTCTATTGAGAGGATTTCTTTCAGTTCTGATTCATATGGCATAAGGAATGGAAAGAGAAACACTATGGGGTCTATTCACTAAGCTGCCGTAGGCAGCCGAGTGAAAGACCGACCTGAAGTGAAGTGAGCTGAACGCTGTTCGGCTATTCACTTCAGGCTGGTACGGCTGATTTCAGCCGTATATCGGCTGAAATCAGCCCTACATCGGGTGGCTTCGGGTCAGCCGAACATGCTCAGCATGTTCGGCCGACCCGAAGTGCAGGATGAGTTTGACTCAGCCAATCCAACATCTGGATCGGCTTAGCCGAACCTCCGGCAGGCTACTCGCTGCTGTTCGGTCTATTCTTATAGATGCCGAACAGCAGTGAGTGAATGAGCAGCATTCGGCTCGGCTGTTCTGCTCGGTCCCTCAGAGGGACAGAGCACAACAGAAAAATAGTTTAAAAAGTCCAAAAAAATACATAGAAAGCGGTTGTGCGGAGCTAGCAATGACAGCTAGCTCCGCCCAATAGTTTTTTAAAAACTCTCCCGGGCGCTCTGGGAGTCTCCCGCTCCCGGCCGCCCAGGAGAGATACACTGATTTTTCCTTTTTTTTCTTTATTCTGACACGGAGCCGTATCAGAATAGAAAAAAAATTAAAAAAATTGGCCATTTCAATTTGCAATAGCCAATAGTAAACTAGCATTGCACAAAATTCTTTCATTTCTGATTAGAGCATTTAGAGAATCAGTTTATTGATTTTAAAATACCATTTTAATAAAGGGAAAAGAGAAAAATGTTTACAGAAAAGATATAACAAAACACAGACAATAGCAACAGTAAAATAAATGGCATCAAAAGTGCTTAACAAGTTTTGCCTGGTTCTAGGAGGTTCCACTTTACTGCAGCGTACGTCTGATTCTAACAGTCATACAAAGTCACTGGGACTCAAAAATGACTCTCAGCATTAGTGCATAATGTTAAAGGAAAATTGAGAGTGCTTCAGCTGCAGATACAACCACTTTTTTTGGTCCCTAATGGGGCATTTTCAGAAATGACATAACCAATCGATGGGTCTGAAGAATGTGCTGAGGGGAGTATAAGTGTGTCATGATAGTTGAGCAGACACTCTCACTGGCAGTTTTCCTAACTGTGTCAATATTTCCAGAAGCCCATATTTTAAAGTCTGACAACTAACGTATTATTACACAAAGTGAAATCACTTTTTGATAGATCCTAAACAAGATATACTGGGGGAATTTATCAAAGCACTTATGACAGTTTTAGCCTCTTAGATCATTTTTTTAATGTGCAAATCTGTCTTTTAACACACCCCTGTTTTCACCTGAGCTTGCACTACTTTTCCAACTGCACGTGTTTTGCCCAAAGCTTGGACTACTTCTCCAACTGAACATGTTTTGCACCTGTTTTCTTCAGAGCTTGCAATACATTTTCAATTGCATGTTTTTTGCCCCTGTTTTGCACCTGTTTTCATCTGCAATTATTCCAGGGCCGTATGAAACTGGAGCATCACCTGAGAAAACAGTCACAACTTAAGAAGTCCCCGTGAACACTTCTTCAAGATGCGACAGTTAAGCTTTTTGCCTGAAGTTTAAAGTCTTTTTTCCTGGAGTCTATTAAACCTCATTTATCAACAACATTACACTAGCTTGATAAATCTGGTGCAAATATATTCCGTGAAAGTTCAAACACTCGCAATTGCTATGATAAATTCCCCCCAACATGTCTAATGAAAATGACATTTATTATCAAGGCTTAGACTGCATTGATAAATAAGGTGCAAATAACGTGGAAAATGTGTCACTTAAAGAAAAGTGGAGCAACTCCCTTGATGGATTCCCCCCACTGTATATAGGATGTATATATCCTTTAGGACATTTTCTGTGACCAATAAACCTTCTGTACATTATGGCATAGGCATGTATGGTAGCTAAATGGTAGTTACTTTCTTATACCTTTGGGTTGACACTTTTTATGACTGTCATTTTATAATATCAGGATTTATGGAATCTAAATAGATTTGGGTTCTGGCTGTTAAAAACACCAGACTGGAACCTGTAAACCTAATGGAGATTTACAACGGCTAATCTACCAAAAACATTTTGCAGATGCTGGGCTAGCAGGATTTATGATCTTCTTAGAATTTTTTTTTCTGGAGCTGGTGGTGTCTACCGTGGGGATCTTGTCTGAGTCTTTTAAAAGCTGTCATCCCTTGCCAGAGCACAAACAACAGATTTACATCTAAATAATTTGTTGCAGAGTTAGGCATTTTGGAGAAATGAGAATGGAATGGTGTTCCCTTGACTACCCAATTCTCTTTACTTGGGGTTTGGGGTTCACCGGACCTCATGACTGTTACAGATGACATTACTTCTGTGTCACACCTGTGCCAGTCATGGGCAAATCTCACCAGAGGGGTTTCAGGCAGCAGTTAAAACCTGCCATAAGGCTTCTTTTACCCTTATTTACTCTTACTAGAAACAAAAATAAATAACTGGGATAATTTTTTACTCAAACATTTCTTTACGGAATTTCTGTTTTGGGTGGATTCAAGAAAGCAGTACTTGTTGTTCTGTGTTTTCAGTTGTCATGTAAGTACAGATACACTGCATCTTTATGTCAAAAGCAAATCATCAAAGCACTCTGTGAGGAACTTTGTACTCACTTGAATGCTCCATGACAGTTATAGTAAGGTTCATCGTTACTGAGTTTGCATTTCTTGCCTCCCCGTCCAGCACAATGTTTACACAAGTTTGGCTCCTGGGCCCCGGGGACACAGCTCGCTGAAAAGAACCTTGAGACAGCTGAAAAGTAAAGAGTGAATAGTAAAATAAACAGTAGTGTTTATTGTGTCTGTTTTATATCATGTGCTCAAATGGCTGATTAAAACCATGTGTGTATACTCAAAAGACACAAGGATAGTGACTAATGCTCTCACAACTGCTCCTCAGTAAACTGGCCCACAGATATAGGATGACAGTCAACCTGTTTTGGTCATTTTTGTTGAATCAGGTGACAGTTTTATGTCTGTGGCAGCAGCTGCTCAAATGGGGAACATCAGTTAAACACCTTAGAGAATCAGTCCTTAATCACTTATTTTTAATTTGTTGTCCGAGTATAAGTGGTGTCTGTAGCACCATCCTGATATGTCCTGAACATTTGGCTGAGCTGCATGTTTGTGGCTGTGAGCTCTGGCTCCTACTTGATGTTTTGGAAGGTGGTGGCATCATTGTTGCTTGACCCGCTACCCTCCTATGAGCATCCTAAACTAGGTTTACTATTATAATGTTACATGCAATGTTAGTGAGCTCCAGGGCCTGGCTTCTCTCCTGACAATGGTGCTGCTGGAATTCTGTTACCACAGCACACTTTTGTCGAGCAATGCTTGTGACAATAGCTTTGGTATAGATGGGTATACATGGTTAGAATTTCGTTCGAAAAAATTATTTTTGGAACATTCGTTCGATCTTCTCATAGTTCATGGAGTCAAATTGAGGATTGATTTACCATCCATAGTGGTGGATAAAATCAAAGAAGCACAATGAAAATGTTTCTCAAATGAAAACAATTTGAACAGTAAATTTGGTTTTCACTCAGAAAATTCAATTAACTTCAAAGCCGAATGTTAAAACTAAACAAAGTTTTGAACGACTTTGGTCAAGTCTCTGATAGCATTATTGAATGTTCTGACAAGATTTGTTTGCACCAAAGTAGGTATGAAATTCTAACAGTGCATAGCCAGCTTATGTTTGCTCTTGATTGTTTGGTACATCTGCAGGTAGGAGTCAAATTTTTTTTCTACATTTACCTCTCTCAGCTTCATCTTCTGTCCAGTTCAGTAGCTTCTTCTCATGAAGGACACTTAATGGAGCATACCAGCCTGCCATGTGTCCTATTCCGGTGTGGCAAGATCTCTTGTTCTTCAGTTCACTAAACTTAAAAGTGCTCGATTTTCTCACCAGCGCTACTGCATAATAACAGGTATCTGTAACACACATATAACCTGAGTTAGTGTTTTGTTTCTCAATGCTGCCCTGACCAGCTCATTTTAATAAACAAGCAATGCTTGGTTGAGATAAAAGTCTAAAATAGATAAAAATAGATAAAATAAATTATTTAAAAAAAAATGCTTGGTTATAAAGTGTCAGTGTGTTTGAGGGTTGGGTACTTATCATTTATCCGAACACAAAAGAGATTTGCCCATTAATATAATTGGGTTGTAGATTAGATGTGAGAAACCCCCACTAAGGGGTCTATTCACTAAGCTGCCGAGGGCAGCCGAGTGAATGACCGATCTGAAGTGAAGTGAGCCGAACACTGTTCGAAGCCAGCCGTAAGATCACGGCTGGCTCCGCCCAGCTGTCAGAAGCAGGCCGACCGGCCGGCCAGCTCGACCAGCTTCGGCTTTCAGCACGGCTCAGCCAAGCCGATGCATATGCGTTCGACTCGGCTGAGCTGCTCGGCCATGATCGGGAGCTGTACGGGCTATTGTGAATAGCCCGTACAGCAGGCTCTCGGTTCGAATTAACCGATGGACTCCCGTAACCGAAGCTAGCCAAAGGATCGGCCGAAGCTACGGCTAGATCCTTCGGCGGCTTCGTGAATAGACCCCTCAGTGTGCATATCTAGTTTACAACTGATAATACCAGCACAGTACAGGCAGGGCTAATTTTGGTTAACACAGCTCCCCACCCCCCTCCTTAGCATTACATAGAAGGGGAAAGCTAGTTAGCGCTTTTTAACAAGTAAAAAGCAAATAAAAATATATGCAGCAATTTTATTTCTTTTTTTAAGTTATGCTATGTGAATGGGAACTTGTAACAAATATAAAGTAGGAGTTATTCCAATTTGGATGTCCCTGTTGTAGAGATTTCCCATCACTTGAAAAATCTCCTCAACAGAGACACAGACGGCAACATAAACTTGATTGAGCCTCTAACCATTCTTCACTCTATACAAAGTGACTTTTGTCTAAATTTGGTTATAAAACCATTTTTAAAATGTGTACACCCAGGGCCATTCCTACCCATATACCGCATGAGGCCCTAGAGTTGGGTTGGGGTGGTTGCTTTGCTGATAGCTGTCGTCCAGGATTGGGGGGCGGATGCGGTGGGATGGGTGGCTGTGTTAGAACCGTGCTGTCTGTGGCTCTCTGTTCATCATCACTGGTTGCCAGGAGCTCGGCAAGACACCTGCCAGAGCATCCCACAAAGCTACTTGGCAACAGATGACGTGAGTGAGCTTGGTGGGAAAAAACAGAGCTCTTAACAACCAAGCAGCTTGTGGGCTTTTTGCAAGAAAGAGAGCGTATGTGTGTGTGAGCGGGCTTTTGGGTGGAGATCACATCTGCTGATTAGATGATGATAGGGGAGCACAGAACTCCCCTATCATCGATGTATCATTTAGCAGGGCAGCTCTCATTAAAGGGCAGTGCACTCCATGTAATGCCCACTGCTTTTTTAATGCTAGTGTACACTGGGGATGCCAAATGAAAGAAATGGATAATGCTGGACATCATTCAGCCTAGATTTTATTTAGTGGACTTTGGCTGAACAGCATGTGCTTGGGTCAAGTTGGGCTTTAAGGTGAACATTGGCATTGATCAAGCATGTATATCTAGTGGTACCTTCATAACCCATTTTAAGTGTTTTTCAATGCACTCATACTTTCCTTAAACTGTGCTCCCTAAGCAGAATACTGTATATGGTGCTGTTAATTATATGCAAATGTTGACTTTTTGTAAAAAGTCAACACAGGGCTGTACCTACAGTATTCACTACCTGAGCCAGAATGGGCTCTGTGAAAGGTCATTCCCTAGGGGGTTGCTGTCAGTAAGTGGGGGGGTGGAGGTCAGGTGGATTTGGGTTACCCCTCTACAGCGGCTCCGTCCAGCAACCCGACCAGCTCACTGATTGGCAGGAGCTGGACGGGAAGCATGCAAGAGCATCCCGCTCAGTTCCTACCAGCCAGTGATGTCAATGAGCTAGGCGTTAAGCCTGACAGAGCTTCACAGGTTGCTAAGAGCTCTTAGCATCCTGGGACACTGTGGCTGCTCACCTGCCACCCCCCAGTGAGATGCCGCCTGAAGTAGCCGGCTCAGGCTGCACTGTTATAGGGAGGGCCCTGTCTGCACTTAAAAAAAAAAACAGTATATATACAGTAGTATGGCTTTATATGTTCTCTTTAGTCAGTGATCTACCACTGCTGTCCCTAACATTCACTGAGTATTATCTGAAAGAGCACATTCCTCCCAAAGTTTCTGTTCACACTAGCAATCTATTTGCTTTGTTGTGAGCTATGCTGAAAGGAAAGACTGCTGCAGCTTCTAGCAGAGTTGGCATTGCAGCCCCTTTTACTTTTAACCCCTTTTAACACAGAAGAGAGCTAAGCAGAGATGGGTACAGGCTTGGTGTGAACTCAGGTCACCTGAGTTTGCCCGAGCACGATCAAAACTATGACCACCACTCACCCCCCCAGGCCAATCAGTGGTGGCAGTGGTGAATGAGGGCACTCCCTGTCTCTTTTTGACGTATACCTGCAGGGTGGGCAATGCTCCTCTCTGCAACTGATTGGGTTTGGAGGAGGGGGCGCTAGTCATACATTTGAGTTGGCTTGGGCAAATTCCAGCAAATTGGGTTCACACCAAGCCCAGGCTCATCACTAGAGCTGAACAAGCTCATGTAGCAAGTTTAAACACTCGTTGGCAACGACCACTTGTGTGTATGAACTCCAGATTCAAATTCACAGAGATTGGTAGCAGACTAAAAATGGAATGAAAATTGACCATTGATTTTCTTTTAATTACCTGCTGTGAAATTATTGGATTCAATAAAATATTGGATGATGTCTGAATATTTTTTAACTTAACCACACTACTGTTTAATTAATACAAGACTTTTTATTTTGAAAGTTTTTTCTTACTCACAAGAGAAGAAATCATTTACAAAGTTACTCAATACAAGGTATGTCCCATCGTTCTCCTCCTGACCGTAAGAAAACCCTGAGATTGGGAGTGCTGGAGTGACAGCAGATGCCTCAGAGAGTTACATGAAATTGATAGAAAGTCACTCGCACTCCAACTTGATACTTAGTCAATCTTTTTATTGACCATAGTTGTGTCACAGTGTAAACCGACGTTTCGGAACCATGTGGTCCCTTCTTCACGCTTTGTTTGCCTGAAGAAGGGACAATATGGTTCCAAAACGTTGCTTTACAATGTGACACAACTATGGTCAATAAAAAGATTGACTAAGTATCAAGTTGGAGTGTGAGTGACTTTCTACCGATTTCATTTACAGGGCTATTCACAAAAGGGTGAAGAGTTTGGAGAAGGCAGAAGAAGTGAACAATCTAAGACAACATAGCTGATTTGTAAGAAGTCTCCAATTCAGCTCACTTTCCAGTTCAGCTATGTTGTCCTAGATTGTTCACTTCTCCAGCCTTCTCCAAACTCTTCACCCTTTTGTGAATAACTCTTGTCAGAGACCAGTAACTAAAGCAGGAAAAATTGCTGATTCATTAAATTTTGATTCTCCTGAATATATGTAGATTTGGATAATCTGCTGATAATTGTACTATTTAGGAATCCAGGCAATCATGACTTATGAATAGTATGATTCCCGACAGAATGGACAATTTCCTCTGGTTTTCACACTGATTCACTCTTCACTAGAGACCAGTTTGAATTTGTTTGAGTTGATTTCAGATTGGCTGGTATAGATTTCTTTACTCTATTGCCTTCAGGTTCTTTTTTTTTATATAAAACTCGAGTTGTGTTGGTACCTTTTTGTGATCCGTAGCTTTCTGCCATGATTGGCTTCAGATTGTATGGGTTTAGCGAAGCTTTAAATACATTTCCACTGTCCACAGAAATTGCATCTGCTGTTCCATCCTACAGATTAACACATTGTTATTAAATAAGAGCAATGTAAAAGTACCAAAAAATACCATTATGTAATTTATATGAAGCTATGGAAATAAAGCTGTTAGAAGATATAAGATATTACAAACCAAGAACACATCGATATTCAAGGCCATTAAAACAGGGGTCACAGCAGTCTCAGCTCCAAAGAGACCCCTGCTCTACAGAGGGCCACGGTTGGGCCCCCAGTGCATTATACTGCTCCTTAGTAGCAATAACAATAAGGCAGAGCATCGGTGGGCACTGGGCAGAGAGGTGCTGTAACAAGAAGATTTCCCAAAGCAGAACTGGTGTTTGACATAGATCATAGTGAAACTTCTCTATATGCCTCTTGTTTTTGGAAGCGTGATCTATACTGTGATGTCCCATTAGCAAAGGGGAAGGAGGGGATGCATGGGAAAGTGTATGTGTGCCAGTTATTACCAACAGTATGCAGCTGTTGTGGGAGATCCTGTTATAGTATCTTTCTACTTGGTGCTCTTTCCTTTATTTTGAGTGTTATTAATGAGCACCAAAGGAGAGGGGCATAGGGAGGGTTCCCAGCCAAAAATTTGTACCAAGGCTTTTTCAACTATGGCTAGAGCACTGTCTTCATTGCTTTTAAAAGTTTGGAGTGGGCCCACCCAGAACATGGGCATGAGCTGTTCCAAGGTTCTCACACAAACTATTTGTACTGATTTATTTATTTTGTGTAAGAGATATCACAATACGTGATTTTGGTGTGAAAAGTCTTCTGTAACATTTCTAAAATACGCCCCTTTTTGACAATCGAAACCACAAAGCTTCTAATTCACTCCCTTATAATCCCTCGCCTTGTACTGTAACTTCCTCCTTGTGGGCCTACCACTACACAGGCCTTCATGAATGCTGCTGCCAGACACCTTACCAACTGCTCAGTGTCTGCCGCCCCCTCTCTGCCAATCCCTCCACTGGCTCCCAATTGCCCAACGAATAAAATTCAAAATACTAATACTAAGGCTGGGTTCACACCTGGGTGTTTTTCAGCGCTGATCGAAGCGCTGCAAAATGCTCAGGAAGTGAAATCCTATGAATCCCTATGGGCATGGTTCCCACCTGGGCGTATTTCAGCGCGATTTGTTGTGCTGAAAAACGCCCTACGCACGGAAAAGTACTTGAGCTTCTTTTTCGCGCGTAGGGGCCAATTGCAGCGCGTACACATTGTTATTTCTGAGTGTGGCTCGAGGTTAACAAATCGGTAACCCCGAGACACACTCGGGAATACAGCATAGGTTTTACCTTGTCCGCGATCCCCGCGGAAGAAAAAAACATAAAACCTACAAGCACAAAGTACCAACAATACACCCACATATTTCATCACTGATCGTCACTGCAACTGTATCTTTCTGTACTGACCACCACTCCACCCACCCACCCAATCCAATTCTGTACTGATCAACTGCTCTCACGCACTTCAATACCCACTGCCACTGCTCTGATATGCACTTCTTTTCTGACTGTCGCTGATGTAACACCACAACACGGATCAAATATTGCTGTGGTATGCATGCCGTGCTTTACATTACAATCTCCAGACTCCTGAACTATGTACATAGTGTCGTACCACTTAGAAATATTTAAGGAATTCAGTATTCATTCTGTACAACAGTGATTTGCTAGTGATACTATAAATACGGTAAATACGGTAAAAAGATAATCCAACCTTTAGGTTTATTTACTAAAGAATGTCCACTTTGAGTATCCAGTCATTTACAGGAAAAGTTTAAAAACAGGCATCCAACTTGGGGTAACACCTACTTTATATTTGTTACATGTTCTCATCCACATAGCATAACTTAAAAGAAAACCCCAAAAAACCCTAAAAATTGCTGCTTAAATTTTTCACGCTCTATTCTGAAAGAAATAAGTTTTTCTCTAAACTGAATTTTCCTCTGTATTGCAAGGGGTGCTGGGGAGTAACCATAATCTGTCTGTGCTGTGCTGGCTGATCTCATTATCACTTTGAGCACTGTTTGTCCTAACAAAGGCTTAAAGAACAATTTTATTTACCCTTGTGGGTGAGGCTACCCCTGCACTGCAAGGGGCTTTTATCTCCGGGTTTTTTTTGCTTATATCTACTGCTAGCAAGCAGTAGACATAGGCAAGAAGTGTAAAAAAAACAAAAAACGCTTGAAATCATTTTAAACTGACCTCGTTATCGCTGCTCGCTCCTGCGCCGAGAATCAGGAACTGCTCGTGCGGCCACAAGGGATCTTGGGGCAGGCGCATGCGCAGTTCCGATTCTCGGCCGGGAGACGAGCAGAGACGCAAGGTAAGTCTATGGACGCGTGCACCCGCCTGCAGACACCGCTGGATCGGAGGGACAGAGCAGTCAGCCCTGGATCGGAGAGACGCCGCATCGCTGGAGGGACACATGAAAACATGGGGAAAGAAGAGGAAGACCAGAATAAGAGATATCATTTAAGGTAAGTGCTAACATTTACAGTACATGGGGGGAAGGAAACATTTTTTTGCCTTTAATATCACTTTAAGTGCACGTTTTTACCTAGGGGCAAAAGTAACAAAGTTCTACTGACCTGATCTTCTGAGATGGCTGGCTGTGACAATGCTCTTTCCTGTCTGTGTCCTCCTCCTCGGCTGCAGTGAAGGAATGTCCCTCAGCAGGGCTGTCCCTATAGTTTTTGCTGCCTGAGGCTGTCGTCCGGGGGATTTTTGTGTTGTTGTGCATTTTCCTGATTTGCGGTGGGGGGAAGTGGAGACGGGGGGATGCTCTTTCCGTTTTGGTGTTCGGAGGTGAAGGGGGTGATGAACCGAGCTGTCAGCTGCTCTCCCTGTCTGGCGTCCTGCCCAGCTCACCAACATCGCTGGTTGCCAGGAGCATGGCGGGACAACAGCCACAACGTCCCACTTAGCTCCTGGCAACCAGTGATCAGTGAGCTGGGCAGAAAGCCGCACAGAGCGTCACAGGTTGCTAAGAACTCTTAGCAACCTGGGATGCTGTGGCTGCCTGTCTGCTTTCCATTGTATATTGATGAGTGGAAGCTCAGAGAGTCCCTAGACTTTCCATTGGGCAGCCATAGTTTCCTGTCACTTTGACATTGAGAGAGAAGCTTGCAAAGGCCTTCTACACAGACACATCTAAAATGTAAGAAATATTTTTGTTATTATTTTTAGCTAAGCTGTGTGAATAGGAACACATAACACACATATAGAGGGCTTTTCCCCAAAGTTGACTGCAGATGTGGAAGTACATTTAAATAAATCTTCTGCAAACACTTACTTTAATGGCAGTGAAGCATTCCTCAAGGGTGGGTTTTTTCACACAGATAAGGGTAATGTCTGGAGCCCTACAAGATCTTGTCAGCTCTTTACACTTCTTGTATTCGCTGTCCGATGTCACACACCAATCAATGTTTCTTGTTTTGAGAGCAGCGAGGGACAAATCTAAAAGTTAAGAGAAACACATTAGGGCTTGTTCACACCATCTCCAGGCAGAATAAAGAAGATACAGTGCGGAGTAGCGCCAATGCAAGCAGGGCCAGCGCTGCGACTACTCAAACTAGGCAGCCGCCTAGGGCGCACTGCCACCTAGGGTTCAGCCTCGACCAGCGGCTTCCTCACACCCTGCCATCTTCCCCAAATTGCTAGGTTAACCCAAGACATGTGAGTGGTCTTCATAAAGATGGCCGAGGAGGGAGGACAGTTTGATAAGACAAGCTTTTCCCTTTAGAGTGTTTAGAGTCCCTCCCTCGGGATCTCAGTCAGGGACTGGCTTCTTTTGAAGCCAGCTAATGAGCCATGAGGGGGTGTGGCCGGCTCAGTGGAAGTGTTTGCACTCTAGCAGCCGCTTCCTGTGCTGTACCCTTCACAGGCCGCTGGGTGTCACAGTGAGAGGCATGTCATGGGGCTGAGTCCAGCTAAAGGAGAACGCTGAGCCCGCTGTGTGTGCTATGAAGGCCTGCTTACCCCTACGTGGCCTGCATGTACAAAACGTCTCTAATATTTCCTGTATAGGCTGCGTGGTTCTGTGTACCATGGGAGGGGCCATGGACCTACCTTGTGTGCTATGGAAGGGCTGGGGACACCATGGGGGGGGGGTTGGACCCTGTGTGCTCGGGAAGGGCTGGGAATACCTTGGAGAGGGCACGGACCCTGTATGCTATTAATGGGCTGGGGTTTCTACTGCTGTTGCTAATAGTGAAGACACTGTCCTCCATTAAAAGACCCTACAACTCGAGCCTGTTCTATCCTAAAAGTGTCTGTGTTGCTGGAGCTGAGAAAAGGGGCTGGTGGCTGCAAAACAGTTAGGAGAACCTAAGATATTTCTAGCGGCTCTTTTGGGGGTAAGTGCTACACATGTTACAGACGTTTTTCATGTGTTTCATTAAAGTCTATAGGGGTAAAAACAAAAATGTAGCACCAAAAGAAACACCTGCCCCTTTCCAATACCTCCCAAGAGTTAGATTACCATTACTAAACATTTCTAAAGGTGTCTTTGATGTCATTGTAAAGATATGGGTGAAGTTCCTGTTTAATTATTTTGTTTGCTACACAAACCTGCATGCCTAAGAGGATGATTGCACATCTAGTGGTGCACATCATTCCCACAACTAGAAGGAGCTGAAGAGCATAGAATTCCTCTGCTCCATCTAGTGGTGGAAATGCCGTTCAAAAGGCATTCGCTCAGCATATGGCTGGGCAGAAGCTTTATAAATAATCCCCTATATGTTGGATGTCCACATATCTGATCTATGGGTTAGAACAGGGACCTTGTAATTGTGGCCCGCACAGCAGCCACCTCATTTTGCCATGTCTCATGGCGGGGGAGGGCAGAGGACGGAGCCGCTGTCACTAACTAATGCAGAGCAGTGAGGAGAGAGAGAGACGCTCGGCCAGGATCAGACAGCCGGCGCCTCTCTCTCCCCTCACTGCTCGTCCGTTCTGTCACAGCGGCTCCACCCCACCCCCCGCGGCTCGTCGTATCCCCCTCTGCCCGGGAGAACAGGGGGATCCAGAGAAGTTGCAGCCCCCCTGTGCGTGGCCGAGCGGCAGAGGATCGGTACATGTCAGTAGTATGTACCAATCCTCTGTGTAGGACAAAACACTGGAGCGATCGCCTGATCACTCCAGTGTTTGTAAATAACTGGGGACACATAGTACTATGTGTCCCCAGTTATAAATGAATGAACAGGAGGTGATTTACATCACCTCCTGTTCATTCATAAGTTTCTCAATGGGGAGAAGCACTCTGTACAGAGGCTCCTCCCCATTCAGAAACAGCTTGATAGTAAAATATTTTCTTAATGAATGGGAAGCCTCTGTGCTTTCCATTCATTTAGAATAGAGGCTGCAGAAAAAGAGATTGAGGACTTTGTGTCCTCAATTTCTTTTTCTATTTTAAAAGGGAAATATCAGGGGGCTTTTTAGACCCCTAATATTTCCCCGAAGCCCCCCCAAGAGTAAAAAAAATAAAGAAATTATGAAAATTTAAAATAAATAAACATAAATAATGAAAATAAAATAAAAAATAGTAAAAAATAAATTGAAAAAACTTAGTTTTTTTTCCTTGCCTCAGGCGCAAAAGGAGCTGGCTACGGCTATGCTCCCGTGGTGCTCGTGCGGCTGCCGGCTGAATGTGTCAGACGCTGCAGATGGAAAGGTGCAGGACACCCCATGTGCAACGTCGGCCACACGAGCACCACGGGAGGACAGGACGCCGGGACCTGTAATGCACTGGAATGCACTGGAATGTAAGCAGGCCGACTCCCTGCGTTCCGGTGCGGGAGGGGGTGTGGAGCTGTATTGAAGTCAATGGCATCGCCCACAGTGCGATCGCCCGCACTCGGAACGCAGGCACATTAGTGCCTGCATTCCGGTCCAGTGCGATCTGCAAAAATAGTGCTCGCAGCATTTTTGCGGATTGCACTGGACTGGAGCACAGGCACCTCCTCATCTACCACGCATGCGCAGATTGTGGGCCGGGGTTCGGGCAGCGCTTCGGGCGGAGAGGCAGCAGGGGATTGAGAGGGAGTGACCGGGGTCCGGCATGGGATTCGGCTGGGGAAGTGGCTGCGTGTATGTGTGGGGCAGTTGCGGGGGAAGCGGAGTGCATGGTGCTGGAAGTTGCAGTGATGGTTGGTGGAAGGTGACCCCTGCACTGTGTACGTAGCATACTTTTGATGGTGGGAGGGCTCTTGACATCTGCTGTATTGGGAGTGGGGTGCTCTGGATGTCTGCTTATAATTATTATGAGAATAATTTAATTCCATGCCAGTTGAAAAGGAGGGTTGCAGACTGCTGGAATCGTCCACAGGAGAACTTTATTGAGGACACCATGATTACTATTACTATGATAATAGTAAGAGTTGATGCATAGTCCTATACAACCGGCCCTTTGAGGGTAACCATACTGCTGATGCGGCCCCCGATGAATTTGAGTTTGCCACCCCTGGGTTAGAAGAAGGATAATACATTATAAACGTGTCCAAATGTTTATAAAATGCTTCCCATGTTGATTGTAATATGTCCCTTCTATTACAGCAAATATTCGGCAAGTATTCCCTAGTGTGTTGTTTTATTTCAAACACATTTATTAGAATCTGTCAAATTTGTAAAATATAAACAACTGTTGCCTATTCCTTACATAGATCTATCTATAATTTCCAAGCAACCTGTTAAGAGTTTAGAGTTACAAGTACAGTTTGACATGTATGTAAAAAAAAAATCAGCATTTACCAAACCCTTCACACTAGTTTACTGAGATGAATTAGACAGAAACCTGTCATGTTAAAAGTGTTTATTCCACCTACCTAGCATTCCAAGGCATAAGATTACTGATAAGTAGGGAGCCATCGTCCTCTGCCTCTGGGGACCAGAATGAAAGTGTTCTCATGTACTGTCACATTCCCGTTAGGGTAGAGATCTTATTTATTCAGACAAGTGCATGACTGTGTGCAATGTGGTGTCTCAGGAAGGTTATGATTTTCGTATTTCACAATAGTACACTCCACCTTTTCATAATCTTCTCAATGCTCTCATTCATATTTGCTGGAAACTGCAATTATTAGCATAAAAGCGTGCTTTGCTTTGGTTGGCCATTTAAGATGTAACCCTTTCCCAGTGCAGAATCTAAAGAAAGTTCCAATTTTCACCTCCTTCTGCATAAGGCACATTGCAATTTAAGATGTAGTAGTAGCTTAAAGGCCAAGTCCAACAAAATCTGATATTTCAGTTTTGTGTAGATGCCAAAAGGTTGAATTTGAAACCAGCTTCTTATATTTATCTCAGATCCTGGAAAAGAGAGATCTATACACCTTAGGGCAGGGGTGTCAAACTCAATTTAATCGAGGGCCGGATCAACATTATGGTGTCCCTCAAAGGGCCTGTACGACTATGTAAATGTATCTAATCTTTATCATAATTGCCTCTGCATTCGATTATCATTGGTTTTAGTAATAACTTAATACCTGGATCTGAAAGTAGAAGTCTAAAAAATGGCCTGGTGGGCCGGATTCGGCCCCTGGGCCTTGAGGCTTGTTCACACCAAATCCGGACCAGATTTGCATGAGTTTCTGCATATCCAGTGCATTTTGCTGCGTTTTTGCCACGTTTTTAACTCTTTCCGGTTTGTTTTTTGTTTTTTTTAGCCTAAAATGGGCTTTTAGGTGTAGTCCAGTGTGCGTTCCAGGGCGTTTGCATGCATTTTTATGTGCTCTTAACTGCTCTGCATCTGCTGCGCACTTGGTGTGAACAAGCCCTTAAAGTGACACTAAACTCTGAACTTTCTGTGTTGTAATGAGGAAAGTTACAGTGTTGGCATCTCATCTCAGGTTTAATTTACTAATTTGTATTGAGATTGTAGTCTATCACAGGAGTGAGCTTGGAACTATACAACACACACGGGGACCATGGGAAACAAAAGTAGCCACCCTCCAGAAGAAAGGACAGTGTCAGCACCAATTCAGAGATGATTTGAGGATCTGCAGTGGAGTGATACACAAATAAGATACATTTATGTTAATAATTAAGGTACTTGAATACATTTGTAAGATTTAACTCCTGAGTTTAGTGTCACTTTAAAAAAGAGAACTATGGGGTTACGGCTTTTCCCCATAGTTCTCCTTAGGGTAATGGGAGGACACAAACTAGCGTCCTCCCATCACCCTAGGCTCAGTATACCACAAGCTGTAGCTCGCGGTATACTGAGACGCCGCAGTATACCGCGAGCTGCTGCTCGCGGTATACTGAGACGCCGCAGCTGAAGCAGGTCCCGACAATTATGCCTGGATCCGCCCAGCTGCGTGACTGACAGCTGGCTCTGCCTATCTAGAGGCAGAGCCAGCTGTACCCGCCCCCTCCCCCGTCAGTTCCGCCAGTCAGCGCTGGCGGATCGGAGCGGGGAGGGGGGAATCCAGCTCCTCCCCTGTCATGGCAGAGAGCCGTGACAGGATCGAGAGGTGAGGGAACGCCGGCATGTGTTCGCTCACCTCCTGATCTACTGAGCCGACCTGTGACAGTCTCATTGTCACAGGTCGGCTAGAACTATGAGGTGAGTGAAAAGCACTCACCTCATAGTTCTCCTTTAAGTTCCATGGCTAACCAGAATCCATATTACATATTACAGGACAGAAATGCAGCAGGGAAATTGAGGCTCAAAGTCAGACAGGGCAGATCTGGGAACATTGGTAAGAACCTCTGACAACTGACATTCTTGATTGATATTAGAAGTCAGTGGCGTAACAACCGGGAGCCACTGGCTGAATGCCCTTCGTGGTAGAGCAGGAGAAGACGGGAACCGGGACGCATCAGCAGGGGGCGCAGACAGGAGATGGGGTGGACGCACTAGCTGGATGCCCTTCTTGGTAGAGCAGGAGGAGACGGGGACGGAGCGGCAGGGGGCGGAGACAGGAGATGGGGCGGAGACAGGAGATGGGGCGGAGATCGCAGAGGCGGAGTGAAGATGGAAGAGACTGGAGGGCTGATGACTGAAGCTAAGGAGGCGGGGCAAAGGCGGAATCCGGCACACTGCAGAGTCTCAGGGGGTCTCTGCAGGATCTGTGGGGGGCTTTCCAGGATCTGTGAGGGGCTTTACAGGATCCATAGGAGTCTCTGCAGCCTGCAAAGCCCCCCACAGATCCTGCATAACCCCCCTGAGATCCGGCAGACTGCAGGGCCTCTGCAGGATCTGTGGGGGGCTTTTCAGGATCCGTAGGGGTCTCTGCAGCCTGCAAAGCCCACCACAGACCCTGCATAACTCCCCTGAGATCCGGCAGACTGCAAGGCCTCTGCAGGATCCGTGGGGGGCTTTGCAGGATCCATAGGGGTCTCTGCAGCCTGCAAAGCCCCCCACAGATCCTACACAGCCCCCCTGAGATCCGGCAGACTGCAGAGTCTCAGGGGGTCTCCGCAGGATCTGTGGGGGGCTTTGCAGCATCTGTGGGGGGCTTTACAGGATGCATAGGAGTCTCTGCAGCCTGCAAAGCCGCCCACAGACCCTGCACAGCCCCCCTGAGATCCGGCAGACTGCAGAGTCTCAGGGGGTCTCCGCAGGATCTGTGGGGGGCTTTGCAGCATCTGTGGGGGGCTTTACAGGATGCATAGGAGTCTCTGCAGCCTGCAAAGCCGCCCACAGACCCTGCACAGCCCCCCTGAGATCCGGCAGACTGCAGAGTCTCAGGGGGTCTCCGCAGGATCTGTGGGGGGCTTTGCAGCATCTGTGGGGGGCTTTACAGGATGCATAGGAGTCTCTGCAGCCTGCAAAGCCGCCCACAGACCCTGCACAGCCCCCCTGAGATCCGGCAGACTGCAGAGTCTCAGGGGGTCTCCGCAGGATCTGTGGGGGGCTTTGCAGCATCTGTGGGGGGCTTTACAGGATGCATAGGAGTCTCTGCAGCCTGCAAAGCCGCCCACAGACCCTGCACAGCCCCCCTGAGATCCGGCAGACTGCAGAGTCTCAGGGGGTCTCCGCAGGATCTGTGGGGGGCTTTGCAGCATCTGTGGGGGGCTTTACAGGATGCATAGGAGTCTCTGCAGCCTGCAAAGCCCACCACAGATCCTGCACATCCCCACTAAGACCCGGCCAGACTGCAGGGCTTTAGGGGGTCTCTGCAGGATCCGTGGGGTGCTTTGCAGGATCTGTAGGGGGCTCTGCAGCATGCACAGCCCACCACAGATCCTGCACAGCCCCCCTGAGATCCGGCAGACTGCAGGGTCTGTGGGGGTCTCTGCAGGAGACAGCTTCCTGAGACTGGGGGGGGCACAACATTTTGTTCTGCCCCGGGCGCCTGTAAATCTGGTTACGCCACTGTTAGAAGTTAGTAGGTGATTTAGATCAAAGCATGAAATAGTAGCTTTGAGCAGAAGTGATCTTTCAAATATATTGTACAGCTTCTTACAAAAACAAAATGTGGGTACGATCATGTTTTCTACTACAATTTCAAGGAGTGCACTTTAATAGCTTCCTTATTGGTTTCAAATATACAATGTAGCTTGGAAATCACCAGTAGTGCCAATCACACCAGCCAGAATTGTAGACTATGGTTATATACGGGTCTATTCACTAAGCTGCCGAGGGCAGCCGATTGAACAACCGACCCCAAGTGAAGTGAGCTGAACACTGTTCGGCTATTCACTTCAGGCTTGTACGGCTGATTTCAGCCGCATATCGGCCGAAATCAGCCATACATCGGCTTGCTTCACGTGGCTTCGGGTCGGCCGAACATGCTCAGCATGTTCGGCTGACCCGAAGTGCAAAAGGAGTTCGACTCAGCCGATCCAACATCTGGATCAGCTAAGCCGAACCTCCAGCAGGCTTCTCACTGCTGTTCGGCCTATTCTTATAGATGCCGAACAGCAGTGAGTGAATAGCCGAATGCTGCTGAGCGGCATTCGGCTCGGCTGTTCTACTCGGTCCCTCAGAGGTACCGTTCAGAACAGAAAAATAGTTTAAAAAAGTAAATAGAAAACGATTGTGTAACTGAACCGAAGGGGTCCTGGGGCCGAAGCTAGCCGAAGGATCGTCCGAAGCTACGGCTAGATCCTTCGGCAGCTTAGTGGATAGACCCCATCATTTTTTTTCAGGTAAATATGAATATTTAGTATTCTCATTTTCATTCAACAAGTAAAGCTTTAGGCTAATTAAAAAACATTTTTAGTTTCTGGCCGGGAACTCCAGTAGAGATGCTATAGTCCCCCGACACCCGGAACATACAGTGGAAAAGCCGTGTACATTTACAAGTTATCTTGGCGATGTCGCTGAAATCACTTGTAATAATTTTGCAGCCTGTCCCTGGGAGGGGGGCGCATTGCGGAACCTGGCCTTGGGGCGGCAGGAAGAGTAAATCTGGCCCTGCCTGTCTATCTCATTTATGATCAATTACAAAGAGCAGAGCCCTCTCCTCAACTGCTTCTCTCCTTCTCATCTCCATAAACACTACTTGTGTACAGAAAGAGAGCAGAGGAAGTCATCAGCTCACAAGATTTCTGTCAAAATCAACAGGTATTAGTGTATTTATCGAATAGATATAACAAAACACTTTGAATGGCATATGTAGCAGATGAAAAGGGAGCAAATAAGTGAAGTTCATCATTAAAGCAGAACTCGGGGGGGAAAAATGGTTAACCCTTGCAGTGGGGTTACCCCCGCAGGGCACGGGTTAAGCGCTCTGTTTAGGTTTAAAAAAAGTTATACTCACCTGATCCTTGGAGCCGGTCCCTCCCGCCTCGCTGCCCCATCGCTGGCGCTGTCTAAGGATCCTTGAGTCATCATGTTCTATACACTGTGTATAGGACATGAGGATGCCGAGGGACATACCATCACTGCAGTGGAGGAGAAGACAGGCTGGAGGGAGCACTGTCACAGCCAGCTGGATCTAAGGTTCAGGTGAGTATAACTTTTTTTTTAACCTAGACACAACGAGCACTTAACCCTTGCAGTGCCGGTGTAGCCCCACTGCAAGGGTTAAGATTTGTACTCCCCAGAGTTCTTTAAGGTTTACATACACTTTAAAACCCAGCCTCCATTTTTAACCCCATTCTATGCCTTCTTAGAAATAATTTATAGAGGACTTTCTAGACTGAGAGTTTTATGACACATAAGAAATAAAACCAGATTATTTTGATCATACAGTAAATTGTGCATTATCTTATCTTAGAAAAGGAGGATGAGGCTTACATTAATGCATTTCATGATTCATTCTGCCTGCTCATGTCTCAGGCATGACATTTGCCAGGCTGTTCAGTGGCATCAAAGGCTGTATTCATCAGAGAGCTTTTTAGCCGACACTGATTTATTTAATTTAATTTGAAAAACGATGACTCACGTGAAATATGAAACGCAATAAAAACTGCAGGCTGACAGACAAAAAGCAGTCTGTTCCCCCTGTAACAGGACAGGCATATAATGTGTGCTGTGTGCTCAGGTTATACATTCAATAGCTTCCACTGTGAACCGTATAGGAAGCGGCATATAATAGAATAAAGTACCTCAAATGCCATTGAAAGAAATAAGGAAAATAAACCTTTGTTACATTTTATTTCTGTCTGTCATCCCATTGTGGAAGATTTTCTTTTTTGTCTCTGTGGTACCTGGAGAAGAATTGAAAGGTGCAGTATTCAATGCAACAAAGGAGACACAGACATCAAATATGAAAATGATTTTGTTGATGTCTGTGTTTTCCTGTCCCAGTGACAACTGGTAGCGTATTATTTTGGAGAGGGAGGATGAGTTATGAACTATGTAAAGTGCTCTTGATCAAACATTTATCTAAAAATAAGTAAAGGGCATAAAGAACAATATACAGTATATATGACCAGATTTTGAGGAAACCCATTTATATTGCAAACAATCTCCTTGATATTATTTATTGGATAGGTAGAACACCATTTAGCATTGTGTATGCAGGTAAATTATAACTCTATTCTATATTCTCTGAATACTAATGTTTACTCTGTTTTATATGCTCCTTTTCTGGACAGCAGATGAAACTCCAGGCAAAGGTTTTGTATGGATGCAATATTTACTTAGAGAAGAGAGAATAAGGTTTAAGATGTTTCGATGCTTTATTTATTCTGTTGTGCAAGCATGCAGTCAACAGATCCTTAGCTGACCACCATAGCTTTCAGCTGGATATTTTTGGGCGGTTGTTGTGCGGTTTGGGTCTCATAGACATCTCTATTCATTTAAACCTGTGTGGTTTTCAAAGCAAAATCGCCCAAACAAAAACTTTGCGAAAATAGCTCACCAGCACAATCGCCTAGGTGTGAACCTAGCCTATATGGGGGATTTGGTCAGTGGTTAATCATTTATTTATTCTTCTCAGCTGTTTCATTCCAGCACCACCACTATGTTTTTTGTAATTTGTAACATTGGGAGATGTGTACATATTCACATTGTAATTAGTACATTGCAAGGCTGAGAATTTAAGTGCAGTATAGACTTGTGTGCGGATATGCACACTCAATTGATGGCTACTATTGCTGGCACAAGATGGGGCATGCTAATATACAGTACGTATCATGCTAGATAGCTGCTATGTGTTAAAATGGGAATAAAGGGGGCGATATTGAAGGCAGAAGGAAGTGTAAAGGTGCCCATACACTACTTGATTGTCGTAAGAGAATCGAGCAGTGTGAACGAAGACGTGCAACCGCTTTTACTGTACGGTCGCACGTCTTTTGTCGAACCAGCATGCTCGAAAACCTGCCGATAATCGTACGATTCTCGGCGGGTTTCTAGCCTGCTCGTTCGACAGCTGCGGAACGGGCCGGTGTGCGCACGCGCACACTGCCCGTTCTGCATTGCGGTCATCGGAAGCCCGCCCCTCAGCGGGGCGGGCTTTCGATAATCGCAAGTACGATCTGCCTGTCCAAGATGGGCAGATCGTACAAGCTTTTAATAAGCTTACGACCATCGCAAGACAAAAGTCTTGCGATGGTCGTAAGGTGTATGGGCACCTTTAGATTGTGGACAAGTCATCAGTCATAACATTCAAAATAACTCTAGCAGTGCTGTAGCTGCGTAGTGGGTGGCTTTTAATAGTACAGATGGTACTTTAGACAATGCAGTGGTTGTGATGATGATATCCAAATGACCACATTTTGGGAATGCACCTGATTTTGCTTAGAGTAATTTAAATGCGTAACATAGCTGGATATTTTTCTCCAAGATATTCCTTTAGCGTTATTTTCTGCCCGACTTCAACCAAGCATTTTGTGTCATCGCTGAAAAGGAGATCATGGCCTTCTGTGGACTTAAACATCTGAAATATGTGCCTCTGGAATGCATTCCTTCCATACAATGACTGCAGGGACAGAACAATACGAAAAAGTGAGCATAATAATATAAAGACAGTATCATTTAAATGAAACATCTTCTAGCACTGTACTAAGAGAAAACCAGGATAGTGGATAAATCGTAACACTATAATAGCAGTAGTAGTAATTAATAATAGTTGTGTTTTCTATGTATTAGAATGTATTTCAATATGTCTATTAAATTTTTGGATTATATTGGATACAGTATAAATCTTTGAAAGTGAATGAATCATGACTCGAGAAAAGAACAGTCATGGTAATTTATAAAAGTCTATGCCGAATATTACTAAATACATAGGCTCACCCACCACTAGTTTACAAGATCAATGAAAATGAGAAAGGAGCCTAATCATTTATGTTCTCTTATATATACTTTTGTTAGGCTCCAAAAAAAGAATATTCATAAACTACTGTATTATTTAGCTTCAACTGTTCACTAAAATGTGAATAACAGCATTAAAGTGACACTAAACTCAGGAGTAAAATCTTAAAAATACATTCAAGTACCTTAGTTATTTAAAAAATGCATCTTATTTGTGTATCACTCAGCTGTAGATCGTCAAATCATCTCTGAATTGGTGCTGACACTGTCCTTCCTTCTGGAGGGTGGCTACTTTTGTTCCCCATGGTCCCTGAGTGTGTTGTAAAGTAGCCACCGCTCCAAGCTCACTCCCGTGATGGACTACAATCTCACGTTTAGTTTACTAATTTGTATTGAGATTGTAGTCCATCACAGGAGCGAGCTTGGAGCAGTGGCTACTTTACAACACACAGGGACCATGGGGAACAAAAACAGCCACCCTCCAGAAGGAAGTGGGTCTGCTGAACAGTGCAGGTAGTTTTCTAGTGCAGGTTAGGAAATGATAGCTGATTCCTGATTGGCTGCAGCAGACAACAGGTTTGATAAATTTAGCCCAAAGCTCATCCTTCTTACCTGTTGATTTTTTAGAATTCTCGCAACAATGTCCCTCTTTTCAGGACGAGCGAAGACGATGCCGGATGGGAGCTACGCAATGTGGCACTTTTTGTATTCACTGACAGAGACACGTGAGCCATCAGAACACAGCACCTCAAAATCATCAGATTTCAAATCCTTTGCCCAGCCTTCAAGATTTTTACCTGGATGGTAAGAATATCATTGGCATGTAAAGTTTATGGATAGCATAAAGTAGATATAAACTCTAAATGACATTCACTGTGCTAAAGCAATTTGTATCCCAAACAATTGCCATTTAAAAAAAAAAAAAAAATACTTGTTTTCACCCTTTTTTATCTTGTGTTGTATCTCAGTGCAGTTGATTACTTGCAGCATCTTTGCAGTCAATTCCTGTGTACCTGCACTCCAGTAATGTCTGAATGGCATTTCTCAATGTTGGTTTCTTGAAGGCGACAACAGTGGATCATGCCTGTGCAATGTCCAGTTGTAGTCTCCATCAGAAGCCCATGTTACAGGGTGAACATTTTGGCAGATGCTTTTTTTGGATTCGGTGCAGACACACACTGTAAGTCTTCAGTTTCCTTGCTTGGTAATGTCTGGGCTTTAGATGTGTAGATGTACCTGTAAGGTGGATAAGGCTGTCTCCAGATGAGTCTGCTCTCTTTCTGTACGTTGCTATGTATGTCCCATAGTTGAACAACTCAAACAGTATAGAGTTAGCGACCAGACTTTGAGGTGCCCTGATGCAGTAATGGGACTTCCCCATTTATCTGCAGATGTATGTAACTAAAACTCCTGTTTTTAACGCAAGTAGTTAAACATATTAGCTTTTTTTTTTGTTGCTGGCTAGCTTGAAAGTGTGCAGGGGACCTCTTTTGCACTGTGCATGTGAAAAGGCAATAACGCAGGAGCTCACTTAGGAGACAGGGACAGAATGCGGAAGTGGCTGAACCAGGACCTTCATAGAGTTAAGTGCACATTTTGGTCTAGGGGCAGAAGTAAAGAAGATATACTTGCCTGATTCTCAGTCCTGTCTGGCTGCTAAAGCAGTCCCTGCAGCCTCTTCTCCCTGGACTCTGGCAGTCTAAGGACCGCTGCTGTCATCATGTCTAATTCAGGTCCATTGTCTTGCATTAACCCTGACCACAGAGGGACTGAGGATCAGGTGAGTATATCTTCTTTATTTATGCTTATAGACCAAAGCGAGCAGGTAACCCTTGCAGTATGGAGGTAGACCCACTGCAAGGGTAAGTTTTATAAGAACCCGGAGTTCTTCTTTAATGAAAGTTACAGATAGATAGATAGATAGATAGATAGATAGATAGATAGATAGATAGATAGATAGATATACATACAGTGTTTTTAAAGAAATGGTCATGATCTCATTCAGACCTGATGTGCTGGAATTAATAAAGGTCACATAAAGGGGGAAGAGGCAGCACACATCATGTGTGTTTGTGGGTGTGTACTGTACTTATTGTAA